ATGAATGCGTAGTCTTGCTATATATAGAAATATGGCGCTTGTGTTGGAAAAAAAGGAGCTAGCATAGGTGTACTACATATAGGACATTAAGCATATCTGGGTTTACACGGGTTTACATACGCAATTGTGTTTCAGCCATTAGCCATCAATTTATATGCTTCAAGTTCGTCCAATAATCGAATTGTTATTCATTTATTTTTTACATTTTCATTATCGTGAAACTTTCTGTTCAGCATAGAAGTGAAGTAGGCTGAAGATCAAATCCATGCACGTGAGTTCTATTATTCCCTGATTATCATTCCCCAAACACTATAGTAATTTTTGTGACTATTTCGAGTTTTATTCAATTCAAAATTATCGTAGTGTTTATAAACACGTAGGAATGTGGAAATTAGCTCTTATTGTCGATCGAGGAACCTCTCGCATCAAACTTGATGCTTTGTTGAAACTGTTGCCGATGGATGGTATTATTTACGTTTTTAAATTCCTGGCGCTCGAGAAATCTACCAAATCATTGAAAAATGTGCTTCATCATCAAAATTAATGCACCAACATACAAATCCGACATAAATTTAGAAGCATATTAATAGGAGCCCTTCAAAGGGTTAAAAGTATAATTATATGAAAACTTCTTTGGGCTTTTTATCTCGAAGTGAAAAAAAAGTTATAATTATGGACTGGTGTAGTTTACCATTTTCGAAGGCAGCTTCTCCTTTTCGGGCACAATAATAAATAATCGCCTCTATTCATTAATTTGAAAATTCTTCGACATCGGACACTTCACAGGCGTTCAGGAATATTCCCAGCGGGTGTACAACCTGCTGACAAACTTCATTATTATCGGTGGCTTATTGTCTTCGGCTTCTATCGTGCGATCATTTGAAATTTGAATAGAATTTATTTGATTGTTCTGTTCACCGTTCAACCAGCCAACTTCAACAATAAATAGAAAAGTTGTTACTTGCTCGCAACCGGATATGGAATATATAAAGATGTTTGACTGAAATACATCAGTCTAAACTTCTGAGAGAAACATTCGATTTTTCTTCCCGGAAAAAATAAGTGTCAATTGCATGAAATAAGGTAGGTACATACATACATACATACATACAGGGTGATTCACGGTGGATGGCATATTATAGAGACGTTTCTGGAGAACGCAACTCAGGATTATTCTGAAAAGTTGGATAATTAGTTGTGTTCTATCGACCTAAAATATTCTCAGCGTTATGACGTTGCCGCTTATATTGAAAAGTAGCAACAACTTTGATTTTTTCAATGGAATACCCCGAGGAATACCCTTATATCATTCCATTTTAAGATTCTCCCTGAAGAACTGATTTCATCGATCTATCACACTTGGGGTCTAGCGGAAATGATAACAAAGATATAGAGTGTGAAATATCGAAATTTTTCAAATTTGAGAATTTTTTGTGTCGAAACTATTCATAATTGATCAAAACGGTTGTCATGTTCCTATCTCAACTTTTCATCTTCTATCAATTGATATTTAATCGAAGTTGTTTTCATGAACTATTGTGGTAATTTCTTTGTGCGCGTTCGAAAAATAAACAGTCTGAAAACATTAGAAGCATGCGCAATTCGACGGAACTTGAAAAATTCATACTGTTCTGTGAAATAGCGCATGCTTCTGATGGTTTCAGACTGTTTATATTTTGAACGCGAACAAGCTTAATTTGTGGCCGACCATTGCATTCCACTTTGAGAATTTGGCTTTTTCCTAGTTGTAACTCTGTATTTGTCCTATATCTAGGGCTCTCTTCTTCTTCTATGCCTGCTAAAAAAAATTCCTGTGGCGCTAATGAATCACGCGGGCATTCAGCCCATATGATTCTCTTAACCCTGTTTCACTGTATTGTATGTTATGTTCTTCTTTTGAATATTAATCATTTCCATTTCGTCGTCTCTCTCGAGATCATTATACACTCTTTTTCCGTTTTCTTTTATTTGTTTCATTTATCCCGAACTCACGACTACTCGAGTTCTATCTCTGTCTGACTGCCAGCTGTTTAGTACGTGCGTCCCTCTCGCACTATCCTTCCTTTAATCAAGCGAGCCCTGGAAATTCATTTGTTTTCTGGTTTGAATAAATGATAAATTAGTTATTTTCTGTTTCGAAACTTTTTTGTTTCGTACGGCCGATTTTTAATCGATATTGTCGAAGGGTTATTCTTTTATTTTCCTGAGCAAAGGCAGAGCAGATGTGGTATAATTATTATGTGGCTGGTATATGGTTTAGGTTTTACTACCGTGTACAGAGCTTATAGAGTTTTTTGACTAATACATTCAAATTATGATTGTGTGCAGCTAAATAACGAAGTAGTGTAGTGAGTAATAAAAAAAGTAGGGAAGGTGCAGGAAAGAACTGGGAACGGGTTGTATTTGGTTATTTTGACGGCAGGTGTATTTTTTATGACAGTGTCCAAGCAGCCACTGCATATCGTCACTTATTATAACATTCCTTTTTGTTTTTATTATAAGTCGTAAAATCTCATTAAATAATAACCGTTAACCGTCTAAATTAAAGGTGTATATAGGTTTTTAATGAGTCATTTGTAAACATCTCAATCCCAGCTAACATAACGTGTCACCGTTTTATCACAAGAATATTACATTATGCATTATGCAAGTTTTATAAACTCCGCTTCATTTGCGAGTAGCAGATTCTAAAAGATTTAGAGTGTACTTTTTCTATGATATCGAACTATAGCGTCGTCAAATTTTGATTATTTCCACTGACCTATGAATTGATTTACACGGCAACGCTGTTAGACTAAGTTACACTAAGTTAGTGATGTGTTAGTTATGCCTTCGAACAGAAAAGCTAGAAGAAAGCACAGCTTAAGCTGTGAAGAAAGCATAACTTCAAAGGAAGGAAGGATTGCTCGAAGTAATCTGATTGAAAGGTCTACAATACAAAAACAAAATAATATTTGAAGTGAAAGAATCACCTAGTTTGTGCTTGACTTCCTTGGAGTTATTTTTGATGCTACTGTTTCAATGCCCATAGCCAACAATTCAAGAAACAGTAGCATCAAACATTTATTCAACTTCAAGTAAGTCGAGCACAAACTAGGTAATCTTATTTTTTTAACACATACAATCACCAACAAAATTTCAAGAAAATTAATTGCATAATATACAGTGTGACCCACTTCTAATGGAAACACCCCTGTATCTTATGTAACCGTTGGGTAAGGATCCTGAAATTTGCTGGAGCGATAAATATACCAAAAATGTGATATACACTGCTCGCCAACAGCCATGGAAACACCCCAATTTCCGGAAAATGATATTAGGAGTCATAATAGGTCAAAAATCACTTCATATTAGGAATCAGGACACCCAATTCACTAATTATTCATTCATTTTCCTGGAAAATGTTCACTTCTGAAAAATTAAATTTTGTCGCAATTTTCACGGAAGCACTCCCATATCTTACGTAATTGACTTCATTTTTGGACTTTCCCTTCCTCCTGCAAATTTCAGAACCTTACCTCAATAATTACGTGAGATACGGGGTTGCTTCCATGAGAAGTGAGACAAAATTTGATTTTTCTGAACTGAAAATGTTCTAGGAAAACTATGGATAGGTAGAGAATTGGGCGTCCTGGTTCCGAACCCGAGGTGATTTCCAACCTATTTTGACTCCTAATATCATTTTCCGGAAATTGGGGTAGTTCCATGACTGTTGGCGAGCAGTGTATATCACAGAAGATGACCCCACTTGGTCATAGAGTGCATTTTTGGTATATCTCTCGCTCCAAGAAATTTCAGGATCCTTACCCAACGAATACGTACAGATACAGGGGTGTTTCCATTAGAAATGGGTCACACTGTATAACTGAGATTTCAGGCTGTAGTCATGAAAAGCAGAATTTTGAAATTTTCTTTCTCTAAAATTAGCTCTTGACAGGTTTTTGGTAATGCTCATTCTGAATCTGTTAGAAAATGTTATTCAAAATAAGCCCTAATATCCTTTTTCCAAATGAAGGCCTTTTTCTACCACTAAACATTGCACGCCAATGGTGAATGAAATTGTTCACTATGTCAAAAACTTCATTGTTCTGTTCTAACATACAATCACCTTCAAAATTTCAAGAAAATCGCATCATCAATAGCTGAGATTTTATGGCTTAGTCATGAGAAGCGGAATTTTGAAATATTTTTTTTCAGCTCTTGAAACCTTGAAAATATAAATGGGGGGTTTTTGGGGATGCCTAATCTGGATCTGATCGAGAAAGTTATCTCAAATAAGCCCTAATATTCTTTTCCCAAATAAATGCTTCAGAAAGGCCCTATAGAATAATCGGTAGACACGAGAAAAATCGAACAAAGTGGCAACATTAACCTGGGGATGGGGCGGTGATTATATATATTCATCACTCTTCAATATTACTATAGAAACCAGGGTTGCCATCTTAGCGGTTTTCTCTAAATTTAAATTGTCCAGGGTAGGTGATAAAAAATGTCACAAAATCACGAAAAAAAAGTCGCTAAAATGTGGTTGCGTTCAAAATTGGTTTGGTCATTGAGACAATTGACATTTGGGTGTTTGAGATACATTTTTGAATTTCTAAAATTCCTAGGAAGTTTAGCTTTGGACCTTTATCGCAAACAGAATATATTTCTGATATTTGTTTACCAAAGGATGATTTTTGAGCTGAGTAAAATTGTAGCTTGTCCAAACATTTTTTTGCCTACCCTAAATTTTTACTCTAACTACGGCCCTGAAAGGCCTTTTTCTACCCCTCAACATCGCACGCCAATGGTGCATGAAACTGTTCACTCTTTTAAATAATTCATTATTATAACATACAGTCACCACCAAATCTAAAAAAAAATCGCATTATTAATAACTGAGATATTAGGGTGTATGTGTATTCATGAAAAGCGGGACATACTGTATGCCATGTATGTCGTGTTCCCGCCTATAAGAAATTACATCAGAAAATAATGCAGTTTCCATTTTTTTTCAGGAAAACTCTTCGAGAACCTCACCATCAATCCGGCGCTGAAAAAAGAAGGCACACCCCCCTCTCAACCCCCCACCCCTCCTTCCACCCCGCTCTCCCCCAAATCCAACGACCTCACCTCGAAGCCCCCCAGCATCCCTAGCTTCCCCAACCTGAGCATAACCCCCTCTCAATCTAGTCAAAAATTACCTCAATTCAATTCCCAAAGTACCCCCCTCAACTTGGGCAAAAGGCCCGCCCACACGTACGGCAATGGGACATCGGGCCTGAATCAATCTTCATCGCAGACGCTCGATTTTCCGTACAGTAGTGCAGAGTTAGAAGCTATTAGGAATAAGATTAGTGAAGATAGGATACAAGAACAGAAGAATGCACTCAGTGGGCGGGTGAGTTTCTTCCTTCAGTCTTTTGTTTCAGTTATGGGATCCGAATCTATGCATTTCGGTGAGGAAATGATGAGAAGATTCTGGCTTGAATACATGGGGGTAGTAAACCCCCTGGGAGATGATTATCGTTCAAGAAAAACTACCCTTCACAGTTTATTATTCGGTCCCTCAGACCAGGCGTTTCGAAAATTTGCGTTGATTCTCCAACAAGTCATATCTCACAACAACGTCTCATAGTATAGCTTCACCTTTCAGCCAGCTTCAGATTTTTGCTTATACGGTAGCGTCAAAAGCAAGTTTTGTTCTAAAGATCAAGAAGCTCAAGGTGTGTGAGACTTTTGTGAATCTTTCACTGTTGACAAGGTAAATTTCACGACAACGCCTCATAGTAGCTTCACCTTTCAGCTAGCTTCAGATGTTTGCCTATACGGTAGCATTGAAAGCAAGTTTCCTTTCAGAAATCAAGAAACTTTACGTGTGTGAGACTGTTGTACATCTTTCACTGTTGACAAGGTGAATTTCACGACAACGCCTCATAGTAGCCTCACCTTTCAACTAGCTTCAGATGTTTGCTAATACGGTAGCGTTAAATGCGAGCTATGTTTCAGAGATCAAGAAGCTTATGGTGGTGTGAGACTGTTGTTAATCATTCACTGTTGTAAAGGTGAATTTCACGAGAACGCCTCATAGTATACCTTAACCTTTCAACTAGCTTCAGATGTTTGCTAATACGGTAGCAATGGTAGCATCAAAAGCAAGCTCTGTTTTAGATATCAAGAAGCTATTGGTGTGTGAGACTGTTGTTAATCTTCCACTGTTGACAAGGTGAATTCCATACGACAACGCCTCATAGAAGCTTCACCTTTCAGCTAGTATCAGATATTTGCTAATACGGTAGCGTTAAATGCGAGCTATGTCTTAGATATCAAGAAGCTTATGGTGGTGTGAGTCTGTTGTAAATCATTCACTGTTTTAGAGGTGAATTTCAGGACAACGCCTCATGGTATAGCTTAACTTTTCAGCTTCAGATGTTTCCTAATACCCTAGCGTCAAAAGCAAGCTTTATTTTAGATATCAAGAAGCTTTTGTTTTGGAATGCGAGACTGTTGTTAATCTTTCACTTTTAACAAGGTGAATTTCACGCCAACGCCTCATAGTAGCTTCACCTTTCAGCTTGCTTTAGATGTTTGCTAATACGATATAATAATGAAAACATGCTTTGTTTCTAAGGGCAAAAAGCTTCTGGTGTGTGAAACTGCTGTTAACCTTGCGTCGATTCTCCAACACAGTAACGCGTCATAGTAGCTTCACCATCCAACTTGCTTCAGATATTTGCTAACAATAAGGCTGTGTTATAAGTTATAAGCACATCGTTTTTGAAATCGAGAATCTTTCGGTGTGTAAGACTGCTGCCTTTTAGCTTCACTTTTCAGCATGCTTAAGTTATTTGCTAACATTAGCAGTACTACAGGTAAAACTATCTTTTTGATATCAAGAAGCTTTTGCTGAGCGAGACCACAGTTACCTACTTTTCGTAATCCCATACTGTTATTTTTATTTAACGGTATTCAGATGACAATTGAGAAGTTAATGTTAACAGCCTCCGTCCGTTGAGATTGTTTAACGGCCGGTGGTGGTGAAATACAACAAAATTGTAGACAAATTCACAAATGTAGAAATCGCATTGAGAATCTCTCCGAGCTCCTTCTTCAAGTTGAGAAGATTTAAAAATGAATAATTGAAAACTACAATGCTTCAGAGATTAACCAGTTTAGAGTAGTCATAGCTCACTAGAATCTTTCTCCATATTTAGCAGACAATGGTCATGCAAAGTGGACTTAAGGGAACTCTATCAATATTTTTGTAACTGTAATTCAAACGTGGGATACCTATCTCAATTAATGTTCTGTCTTGATGAGTTCAATTGGGGACACCCTGTAGCTATGTGAGCAAAATTTCATACAAAATTCAATATTCCGCAGATGATATACCTATCTGTACATCCACATCCTATGTTAGTTCTGAATAAAAAAATTGACAGAGCTAATGACATGGATGGTAACCCTCACACAAGTGGTGAATAAAACGAGGCATTGCTGTGCAACTTTAAATCAGCACTTAAACAGTAAATTCGGTAAAAAATCATTTTACATGTAAATTTCTGTCTCAGTATAATTTCGAATCTATAAATATTCAACCTGATCATAAATCACTTCGAACATGAATGTACAGATTATAACTGGTAATTTGATTTTATTGTTAACATTTCCTGCTAAACTTGAGGTTAATACCAACAGAAAGATGATTTAGAGACTAGACCTGTGATTTTCTAGAAATTACATTCTCATGCAATTACAAATGAAATGAAACATACATCAGTGAAAACTTAGCGAATATGTTCCAGATTTATATCTGATGCATTCTTCACTCATCTTTGCCATTGAAATCTAACGAAGTTTCACCTCTTTCTCACATTTTTTTCCATTAAAGTAAGTGCAAAATAATTAGAATCCCGTACAATTGGCTGGAAATTTACATCCGAAATCAACAGTTAGAAGTAATTATGGGAGAAAATGTTATTTTTAGAGGATTTCAGAACAATAATCATCATTATTCTCCTATCTGTTGATCTCTGTATTTCGAGCTACCAGTTTTGTATTAACAGTTTGTTTTTCGGAAGCAATATATTCCATAATTATAAGGTGTGTAGAAGAACGACCTTGTAGTATTAACATACTTATTAATGTACCTACCACGAATTAAAAATGTTATAAGTATTTTTAGTCCATATTATATTATGTTTACCGATGCACATAGTGAATCACTGTTCTATAGAATAGTTATTTGTTTTACTAGGCAGGAAAGCAAAAGACTTGATGCCGCGACTGATAGTTCATTCTAGAAATTCAGCCAAGGCATTAAATCTGCTTTTCTGCCGGGTGAAACATATAATTTCTTCTTCAAATTCGTACAATTTCACGAAAACTCCAAATAATCCATCATTTTGTGTTCATAAGTTATATCAAGATGTTATAAATATTCGACATAGTCTTTAGCTTCATTGTTCACGAAATTGTGTTGCCGAAAGACAGAATAATGAGAAGATATTCTGAACAGAGTAGTATTTTGCTAGAATATTTCACGTTCACTAATCATGAAAAACATTTATTATAAATGAGTGATTCATTCTGACAAGTACAACCATGCATAATTATTTTATGCCAAACTGACAGACTTCGCTTCGCTATCCATGGTTACATCCAGACTTTGCTTCGCGCTCTGCTATCTATGGTTATACATAGTTGAAAATATCAACGCTGATAGACCACAAAAAAATCCAAAAGTTACAAAATCTCGATTTTGAACACCCTATATCTTTGTAATTTTTTTCGATAGACTTCAAGTGTGATACATCGATAAAATCAGCCCTTCAGGAAGAATCTGAAAATGCGATAAAATACAGGGTGTTCCATTTGAAACATCAATGTTGCTACTACTATATATCTATAGTAGAGGCTACACTTCATTGTCGAAAATATTTCAAATGAAGAGAGCGTATTCTAAAGTATAAGCTTGCACATTTTCATGGATTTCTCCCGACTGATTCTCTATATAAAAATAGGGTAAGCTCATCGTGACAAACCCTGTATAGGTACAATGAATGTATGATAGTGAACATTTTCCTCAAATCCCCCTCTGATATCAAATTCCAAAATCAAGGTTGCATGAATTCATTTTTTTCTGTGTGGTAAATGTATTTATATGTTCAATTTTTTTTGTTCAATGTATACCAGATTTTCGTTCATTAAAAACAATAAAGTACAAATAATAATAATTCTAGGAATAGATACAAGAGAAGCTCCCTCCAATTACCTCTCAACTTTTTAAGGAAGGGTAATTACCATATCTACCCAACACATACCGGGTGTTTCCTAAGTGGCTCACCCCTATAAATTTTTAGTTTATACAGATAAACAAACGAAATTCGGTGTGTAAGTATAGTACATAAATATGCATTATTTGGCGTATTCAATGGTTGTCTGTCACTTCCGGTTTTATCAGAAGTGACCCATTTTATCTTATTCAAAATGGGACACCCTGTATATTTTTATATATTTCTGTAGAGAATAATATTCTCAGTACAATGACACCCCATTTGCCACTTTTTGACAATTTTCAATCTAGAGTGCCATGAATGAGATAAAACAGTTGATTTTGAATCATGTTGCCTATGAAAAATAATTTCGATGAATCTTTACTTTTCATTTGTTCCACAGGTTGATTCAAAATTCACAATATCGTAATTATGATGTTAACTCAAATTTTTCGAATAGATCAAAATCAATATCCATTATCAAAATCATTAGATTAAAAATTGAAAAATAAAAATTTCAGGATGGTGAATGTCAAAAAGTGGCAAATGGGGTGTCATTATACTCACAATGTTATTCTCTATAGAAATATGTGAAGATATACCGGGTGTCCCATTTGAAATTAGAAAATTTGGGTCATTTCCGGTCAAACCGGAAGTGACAGAAAACAATTCAATACGTCAAATAATGCATATTTATTTACTATACTTAAAAAAGTAATAGGGGTGAGCCCCTTCTGAGAAACACCCGGTTGTTCAAACTCATCATGCCTCGAGTCATGCACACTTCAATCACTGTATTTAATTTGTCCCATGTTTTTCTTATATAAGAAATTCTAATTGATTCCAATTGAAGTATTAATCACATTATTACAAGCTGCAGGACGTTTTCCTCATTATCATTGTTAAAATACTCGACTAGTTAGATAATTGGACACTAATAGTGTTAGAATTTGTGTAATTGATATCTATTGGTTGTCGCTGGCTGGTAGGCATGCTGTTTCAGATAGTCTCTCATGAAGATGTTTAATTCAAACTGGTTGGTACACCGGAATATACCTATATAGTAGGTAGCGCACTAGAAAGAGAATGTGGAAGAAATTCTTCAGAATTATAATTAACGATTAATGATTCCTCGACACTAAACAACTAAGGTGAAAAAGATAAACTATACGACAAGAATACAACTTCCTTTTTCATTTACTCCTCAAGAACGTTATTATTTCTTGAAAACTATGCATTTCCGGACTTATGTTTATATAAACTTTTTGTCTTAGAACAACCAAAATAATCATCCCTTGAAGTTTGGCCACATACTTGAATCTCACCCTGTATATGTATATTTTCATAATTTTTTTTCGTTTCAGGGCATATTTCCTGCAAATTTACTTCCATATTCTCCAATAACAAAGACTGAACCCTCGAGTCCCCCGCCACTGGAACAAAACCCACTGAATGGTGAGTGTTGATAGATATTACCATTGTATAATGAGATAGTCTATAATATACAATCATATTACTTAATTTTAAAAATCTATACGTTTTCGTTTCGTACTTTATTTAATTTGATATCACGATACTGATGGCTGATTGAAACGAATCAATTTTGTCACATAGATTATCACTGATGTGATAGATTTTATTTTACATGTGTATACAGAAAAAGCTGTCATTGTGAGTACAATGTTTAATGTGACTAATGTGAGGGCGATGAAATTTGAATTTCAATCCTATATAGGTAGGTTTTAAAAAAATGTTCTTGCTCCATCCCGAGCTCCATCCTTTATAATCAGTCATAGGGATACTTTTCTCTGATTGACCTTCAAGTGATGTCAATGAAAGCAATATACGATTCAATCATCATCAGTGTTCACGGATTTGTGAAAAATATTTTTAAAAAATGGCGTCGATCACCCTGTATATTTGATTTTCCCCTATAGAAATGTGGCCAATTGGAAATGAAAATCGATCTGTACCAGGATGAATGAATTTACTATACGAATATAGTACAACATTTTACCTACTAGGTATCGAAAACGCTAATTATTTATCCAAAAATAGTTGATATTCCTTGAATTAACGATTAAATATTATCGGAATATGTTACAAGCAAGCGTTTCAGGGGTTGGGCGTGAGTATAGTGATATACTTTCGTTCTGAACGAACTGACAGATTTAGAAAACGCATATTAACTGATTCAGTTCAGTTCGAGTAAAATATCTCAGTCAATCCAGATTGAAAGAATATCACTTATATTGAATTGTGGTGAGCTATTGTGTCCTCGGTTGTCACTCATTCTGCAAACTGACAACTTTGACGCGTTTATTTCAATTTGAGAATAGTTAATTATACACCAAGGTAGTAAAGAACATCAGTATTACACAGGGACCAAGATTATATCCCGAGGCTTAAGCCGAGAGGTATATGGTCCTGTGCTAATAATATTATTTACTACCAAGGTATATATTTACCATTAGCAATATATATTCCAATCATTTTGGTCCTGTGAAAGCACTTCTTTTCAATTATTAATAAAATCTAGTATCCATGACCATAACACCATATGTCTTTATTGACTAGTGGTACATAAAATGACGAAAACTACCTTGGTAGTAAAATAGTAGATTGTTTTATTAGGATCAAAAGTGACACTTTGTTTGACAAGCGAATTTTGCATTTGCGAGGCGGAGCGTTTAGCGAAGCCGAGCGAAAGCAAAATTTGCGAGTCGAACAAAGTCACTTTTGATCCGAATGAAACATGCTATTTTTTCTGCAACCGAAACAATTAACTCAAATAAACATGTGAAGTAACCACCCATAATGCCGTGCCATATGTATGCAATGCAACAAATATTGACAAAAAATCCATGTGGTGAGAATATTCTACCTGCATTAACAGCAGGTTAGGTTTTCTAAGATGTTTGAATTGTAGTTTCAATATAAGTACAACCACAGAGTGACATATTTGTGTATGGACCAGGTGCTCTAATGGCTAATACCGCGCCAGTGCCAGCTATAGGAACAAGACGTGGAAAATGTTTGGTTAGTGAGCATATCAACAATGATAATAGAGTTTATTTATTCGTCTCCATACTACACTGTGTTTGACTTGATAATCAAATGAAGCTAAACAATATCGTTGTTTGAGAAACAATTGCTTGCCGTGATTATTAAAAAACAAGTTATCCATCCCGAGAATAACGAATGAAATACAGATCACGCAAGTATTTGAATCTTGAAGGCTTCCCTGATCGAAACAAAAATACTTAACTGAGATGTTTATAATCTCAATACTAAACTATAATAAGTTGTATTTATATCTCCAGCATGGGTATGAAATGCCAAATCTGCTGAAATCGGAAACAAATCAGGTATGCGTCTCAACCCAAATAACCAACCGCCACAATGTTGTTTATTCTTGATGACGTCCAGTAGATCCTTTTTAGTTCCTAGGAGCTAAAGTTGAACTTTAGCTCCTAGGAACTAAAATTCAACTTCAGCTAATTTTGGTATCAAAATGGACGACTTTTGTGTCGGTTGCAGAAAAACACACTTTATGCCTCGAATAGGAATAAATAATGGTAGGTTTTATAGCTAGTAGTGGAAATAAGAGTATCGACATAAATTCAGATCACGAAACTAGATAAATATTATGTTTGTCGATTGATAATACGATCGATTAGCAATCAATTAGCTCTTATTCCTTTTTTTAAGTAAGAAAGTGAAATTTAGAATGTTTTTTCTCACTTTACCGCACTAGTGCGAAACGCAACTTGAACCAGTGCCGTAACGTTTCACCTTACATATTGGTATAGTATAGGTAGGTAAATTACTATCACATTCGATGACTATGCCAAAAACCACAGTAAAAAAATACAGCACTGAATTCTGAGATGGATCGTAAACAGGGTGGTTCAAAAGTAAGCGGCATCCTTTCATGAAAATAAGGCAAGAAGTTTCTATTGATAAGTGTCTGAAAATGCTTCCTATAAAAGGGAGCTACGCGGGCTTTATATACGCCCCTTTGAATAGGACACCTCAAAGACGATCTTCTCTTAATAACTTTGAAATCCTTCACAATAAATTCTCGAAAATTAGTGTACGACATAAAGATTTGATGGTGAATGAGACACTGAATTCAAAATTTCGAAATTTAATTCAGGGGCGTCACATGCGGGGGAGGGTAGGTGTAAAATCATCCCTTCTTCTTTTGATATTCAGGTTATTGTTTTTCCGTTTAAAAATTATGAAATTTTAGAGTTTTTACGTAGAAAAGGTACTCCTAGTTCATTCCGATAGAGCGTACCATTTAGGAGAAAATCGGCTTTGAAAACTTTCTGATTTGCGTAAATTACAATAACCTGAATATCAAAAGATCAAGGGATGTTTATTGTGAAGGATTTTAAAGTTATAGGGAAAAATCATCTTTGAGGTGTCCTATTCAAAGGTAGAAACTTTTTGCCTTTTTCGAGCAAGGAATACGCCCCTGAAAGGATGTCGCTTACCTTTGAATCACCCTGTATAGTGCGTTAAGGTGTTTCATTATTGTCCTATAACTATTCTCATCGTATATGTATACAGTGTGTCCCACTTACCATGCTCACCATGGGTATCTTTTAAACGGTGAGAGATACGAGGTCGGTTAAATAACACCAAATGTGGAGTTTGTCAAGGCCAACTATAATGTGAAAAAAATTTTTTATAAAATCTATTCGTTTTTGTTTTATACGCATAGAACAGATTTTGATCATTTTCATGTCTCCTCCATAACTTCTATATTTATGAAAATATTCAAATAGGAATTTCACATTCTCATGGCAGTTTTTCAAAGTGATTTCGAAAAAAATATGAAATTTATACCAACTCTTCTAGAATTTGAGATATCAGCACCAACTTTAGTTTTTCAAATGTAGGTCATAGCTCACTATGACTTAGTTACAAATAACTTTTTTTTCTCTTACAGATGATATGTTGCAGTAATAGTTTTGTGTTGATAACAACGGAGTTATTTATTTATTTATTGAACAAATAACTTCCAGACAGAATAGGCTCTGGTATAAGGAAGTACATAATTATATACCTATAGGTAAACATAGCATCATTCAAAATATATCAACAACTGTAAATTGGCAAAGAATATTTGTAAAAAAAAAAAAAATGGCATGATTAATTTTATCCAGTCCGCTCAGAAATAATCAGTTTTTTTACTTCATTTTTGAATATACCTATATTTCTGCAATTTTTTATATTATCAGGTAGTTTATTGAATTCAGTTAAGGCTGAATGAGTGAATCTTTTTCGTCCGAATAGGGAGCTAGCGGCGTCAAGATGAAATAAGTTATATTGTCTAGTTTCATGATTATGAATTTCAGAATTCTGTATCAAAATAATATTCGACTTCAATTTTTAATTTATGAGTTATCGTCATTTATACAACAAAAAATTATTTGGAAGCCGCCATCTTGAATTTATAAATTTTAACAAAAAATCATGATCTCAGACTTCAAAAACCCCCACTTACCAATTTTGAATGGAATCGGACCAAATCTTGTCAGCCATCTTGGAGCAGCCATTTTTTTTAATTTCAACGAAAATTCCATCTCCGATTAACTTGAAATTTGGCAGGTGTTCATAATTTCGGTCACACATTTTGGAAGTTTTGTTGAAATTGAAAAAATTGGCTGCTCCAAAATTGCGGACAAGATTTGGTCCGATTCCATTCAAAATTGGTAAGTGAGGGTTTTTGAGGTCGGAGATCATGATTTTGTATAAATGACGATAACTCCGTTGTTATCAACACAAAACTACTACTGCCACATATCATCTGTAAGAGAAAAAAAAGTTATTTTTAACTAAGTCATAGTGAGCTATGACCAACATTTGAAAAATCAAAGTTGGTGCCGATATCTCAAATTCAAGAAGAGTTGGTATAAATTTCATATTTTTTTCGAAATCACTTTGAAAAACTGCCATGAGAATGTGAAATTCCTATTTGAATATTTTCATAAATAAAGTAGTAACGGAGGAGACATGAAATTGATCAAAATCTGTTTTTTGCGTATAAAACAAAAACGAATAGATTTTATCAAAATATTTTTCACATTATAGTTGGCCTTGGCAAACTCCACATTTGGTGTCATTTAACCGACCTCGTATCTCTCACCGTTATAAAGATACCCATGGTGTGCATGGTAAGTGGGACACACTGTATATGTACTCGATTGCAAAGTACTGTGAAGAGTGCATTCATTTTGGAAAATAAATCGTTTTGCGAACTCATTCGTTCCGCATTATACTTCCAATAGGTCGTTGATTATCACGATTTTGAACAGACGAACGGTCATGAACAATATGTACAAGGTGTCATTTTTTCTCGAAAACATCCATTACTCGAGTCAGGCACTCGTATCGAACGCAAACGACCCTCTTTGATTGAAATTTATGTCAGTAAATAAATA